AATAATGTTGTGTTCTTGTCCACGAAACCCGAGGAATAAGGTGGCAAGAGTCCTTCCTCCAATATTTTGACATATTTCGCAAAATTTATGTTGCCAACGCACTCCACTAAGCTCGATCTCCCACTAACCCAAACAGCTCCCCAAACCATCACGCTGAAACCACCATGCTTCACAGTTGGCTGCAATCTGTTGAGCCAAAACTCTTGGCGAGGCATTCTCCAGACCTATATCCTTCCACTGTTCGAAAATTGAGCAAATCTTGATTCGTCTGAGAACAATACGGTCTTCCAAGAGTCCAGAGGCTTGGTCATCATATCACTTGCCCACTTCTTTCGTCTGACTATGTTGGCAGGTCTTAATAAGGGCTTCCGGCTAGCTGTTCTGCAACGATAACCCAATCTGTGGAGAATCCATTGAACAGATTTCGGACTCATACCACCCACTTTGGCCACTTCTGCAGTCATTAAGCTGGGATCCATTTCGATGCTCCTCTTGACAGCCCTTTTTGTCCTCTTTGATGGACCAGGACGACCCGGACGCTGCTCAGCTGTTTCCTTGTCGTGTTTCCTGAACTGCACGATGATTCTGTTGACTGTCAAAAGCGGGATTCCCAAATTCTGCGAAATTTGCCACTGACTTATTCCACCATCTGCTTGACCAACTATCCTTCCTCTAACAAAATCTGACAATTCGAGAGAACCTTGAGTTCTAGGCATGTAGCACAAGATAATTTGTGTGTGGACCATTTTCATTTATATAGTGCTCTGTGAACACAAATTAGTTAGCATAAATCAGTTAAATGACGAAAAATTAGGTGTCTATTTACTTGTGACCACTCAGTGTAAATGGACAGTTAGGTAAATAAGCTGTATTTTAAAATTTGGTGTATCTTCTAAGCTCTAATGTTAAGAACTCAGATTTTGTTATTAAATTAAATATGAAAAGTTTTTATAATGATAAAAGAAGTATTCAAATAGAATATATTAGTAAGATCATGTATTAGCTGATACTCATTAAAGTGCTTTAGTCACTATTGGAATTTTACATCTGATATCAGTTTCTTAAATTAACAAGAATTTGCAATACAGTTATCCACATTTTAGAAGCTGTTTATGTTTATGAAAAATATATTTTGGAAGAATTAAAAATGTGTTACTACATGGTAATGATGTCTTATTTTCATATAACATATAGTTTGTTTTTTTTCTCTCGGATCATATTTGTAGTATAATTAGTGTTTGAAAATACTCCTGTAGCCCAATTTAAAGATCATATCTTGTTAGAACCAATGGGTATTCATTAAAAAAAGAGCACAGAAACCTTCATGTTTTATTCATTCAGGATTTGATTAACTGCAGTCATATTACCAAGGCTGGCAAAAGTATAGAATATAATCATACAGATAAATATTAACATTTTTCATGAGAAAAATATTAAATTCTAAAGGTAAAATTTTCAGATAGGAAGGAATTGTATAATATCCTTAACTGTACATTAGTAGTATACATATATTCAGACATCAAAGCACATGTAGTGTAATACTAGACACGTTTTCACTCATGGAGTTTCTGTAACATACATTCTGGTTTTATCATTGTTTTTAAATTGTCAAGTACACATTATATTTAAACTTGAATATGGCTACAGTTGGAAATATCTTTCCATACAGTGATGTAAGCCTGTTTTGTTATTGTATCATAAAATGTATACATCATTTTCATCCTTGTTGGAGTGATTACTGTAGGTTATATACTCTGCTACCTAAGATGAAGATGATTGTAATGAAGCTACATGTATGCAACAATTGAATTGTTTTTTCTAGTTAGGAAAAATGAGGATGCAGGTTCCTTCTCGTGCATCTACCTGTTTGCATCTTCAGTGTTTTGATGCTTCTCTGTATCTACAAATGAATGAGAAAAAGCCCACATGGATTTGTCCAGTGTGTGACAAACCAGCTCTTTTTCAGCATTTAGCTATTGATGGGTAAGTAACTGGTATTGTGAATTATCAGCTAAACATTTGTTCAAAAAATCCATATTTTGAATCTACTTATTAATAAACTATTTTGGTATCTCTTTCTTAAGTACTTGTATTGGTATGGAAAAAACATGCTTGATGTCAATGGTACTTAGACAGTGAACAAAGAACATGAGCAGTTATGTTTTTTGTTACCAGTTTATTCTGTTACCAAACTTTGGAGCTGTATTGCCACTAAGTGTGCATTTTTGCTAAAAGCCTGATGTGAGTATATGTTCATTTATGAAAGTAAATACAGCATTCAAGTATATGTACTATAACACTAAAGAAGTATTCAGGCAATAAAACTTCTGAATTCTGTAATTGGTCTATAAAACATTTGAAGGACAATTGTGATTGATACATCACACCAGAATTCCCACTGATGTCTGATGGCAAGAGTTTTTTACACTATCACTACATTTATACAGTTACATTCATTGTAAATAATACTTCAATAAGAATTGTGATTAACGTGGATACCATGTGAAAAACTAGATATATGGCTTTTTTCATAAAAAAAAAGTGTGTAAAGCATAATGAAAGTGCATAGTTAACAAAATGAATATCACATCTCAGCATCTACAAAGGCTATAAAGTCCAAAAACACATTATTCACTTTACAATGTAACTTTCTCTTCTATTAATACAAAGATTAAAGCCTAAAGAGTATAAACAAAGTTACAAAAAATCATGAGTATGCATTTTACGCTTAATATACAGAGAAAAAGTTGCTTAGCCCTCTAATCACCAGTACACTTTTTAAATTCCTTTGTGTGCATGTCACAAAAAGTGTTACTGAGTTGCATTCAAAATTTAGTTAAACTACTCTACTGTCAATGTGTTTTAATGGAACTAGCATTATCAGATATGCTATAATTCAAAGTTTTATATTATCCAAGTTATTATTCCTTTACTTTAACTTCTGAAACAAACAATTAAAGCTTCAGTTTTGTTGTCACATAATGTGCATTCAGTCTTTCTTACCAAGGTTAGTACAAATCATATCTTGTTGGAGGCTTAACTGTCTCTGCAAATGATAACATTGTATCACCCACGGGCACCTGTTGAGGTGTGTTGACATATATAATAAAAGGTCAAGAATTGGAAAGGAAAATAAAAAGATTTGTGAAAAGGTGAAGACATGAAATTATGTATATGATAAAAAGAAGATATTTTAAGATTATTCAATGAAGGGATAAAAGGTTTGTATATATTTAAATTTCTTAATTTTAAACATTTCATTGCACTGTATGTTGCTGATAATAGCTAGGGCTAGTGACATGGTAGAGAAATTGGAAAAAAATATAAACAGTTACTTTAAAAAAATACCTTTGATATTCATTTAGGAGGTTATAGAGATTATGCCAATGAAACGTGAAAACTGTAAGATAAAAAATAGCATTTTTTTTACTTAACAAGAAAGTCACCTTACAGGTCAACTATTCAGAGTCTGAGTGCAAATAACTACATTAAATAACAAATTTTTATTAGAAATAGTAGAAAAAATTAAAATGAAATACTTTTCTGTAACTACATATTTTTAGGAAAGTTCTTGTCAAGTTTCAAACAATTTCATCCACTAGTTTTATTTTTGGAATATGACAAGAGTGGCATTACCTACTAGCAATCTTTGTAGCTGGTAATCATAGGGTTAAACCATATGTTTTAAATGCTTTTTATAATTTATTGGTAAACTTAATTTTCATTGTATGAGGCTTCTTGTGCAATACATTACGATCAGTGTTGTCCCCCTCCTTTTTATAAATGATTTCTAAAGTTCATCAGTCATGTGTAAATCATGACATCTGAGGAAAGTTGGAATGTAGGTGATACTTTTGTTTTGATGGAGTGATATCTAATTTTCATCTAGTCTGTATCAAAATATTATTTTCTTTTGATATAGTGGTATCGGTACATTAGCCTCCTAATCTGCATATTTCACACTGACATTTTTATTGACTTGGTGGATGTTTATATTACTATTCTAGTTGTAACTAGAACCACAAAAAGTACTTCAGAAAATTTTTTAATGTACTTTGTACCATTTTTGAAGCATTGTATGGGTGGTGATAGGATGATGATAAATCGTCCAGATTTTTGAAGATATTTAATTATATACATGCTTCATCCGAATGTGATAACTCTCTTCCATTTGTCACTTTCCAGATACCACTCATATAACTTTGAACACTTAGTCTTTCATTAGATTGTGTGTTTTGGGAGAAGATTTTGAACAAAGCTTTTGTGTCATTTTTGTAGACATAAATTATTCTGAATAATCTTATTTACATTTCTTAGGAATATTTCTACAGTTAGCTGCAATGGTCTGCTGTGGGTTACTTCCTCTAACAAAATGTTTACTTGTCTTTACTACCTTCAGTGAGAACTGGTAGCCAGTTATGGAGTAGCTTGTTTTTCTTTGCTGAAATCAGGCCTCCACTTGCTTTACCATAACAATTCAATATCACACAGTGTTCCAGATAAACTTTTTTCTTTGCTGAAATCAGGCCTCCCCTTGCTTTATCATAACAATTCAATACCACACAGTGTTCCAGATAAACTTTTTTCTTTGCTGAAATCAGGCCTCCCCTTGCTTTATCATAACAATTCAATACCACACAGTGTTCCAGATAAACTTTTTTTCTATCTCCTTGAAATAAACTGTTATGGTGAAAATGAAAAACCAGTAATAGAAACTTAAAGTTTTGGGTTTGGGTGACTTTTTCATCATCCAGCATCTGCTGTGTTTACTAGGAACTTTCTCTTATTATTTATATATCAACATCCTATTAAGAATCCACCCAATTAGACTGGTATAATTTTCTATTCAACAGTGGCCTCCAAACTACAAGTAACTGCTCCATAATTCATTTTGAATATGTGAATAATTTAGAGGCCTAATCTATTATTTGACTTGCTACTGCAGTAGACTATACTTTTGCCAAATAATGGCTCCTCAGTATTGCTTGAGAAAGCAAACCAAAGAGGTACAATGGGCCTTCATATAGTGGTGCAATGCAAACTTTACATCAAATCCTTCAAAATGCTGCATAATTTTTCAATCACATATTGGTGAGAATTTTTTCTCATGCTGTGTTTGTTTTTGTTGAATATGCACATATGCATGAATGATATACATACTGGCAAATTGCATGCATACACACAATTTCTAATAACTTTTTTTGTGTAAAAAATACATGTTTACTCGGATCTTATCTGGAGCATTATTACAGATATTCTTTACTTAGAGATGCTAAAGTTTTGTGTCTTGCATGCTTTTAAAGTGAAATAGGAAAACTTTATTTGGCAAAACCTGTAATGTTAAATTTCCCAGAAGCGATCAATTTTACATGCTGTTTGAACTTAGAAATCACCACATCTCAACTGAACTAAACGAAAAATAAGTATTTTAACATGTGTGATTGCAGACCATATGGAATGGTCAGATGCAAGATTATTGGATATTCAAATTACCTTAGGTCTTGTACAGTTCTCTCTAGATAAATATAACTGAGATCTTGTGATTCAGCATCTTTTGTGACTAAATATTATTTTTCTGTCATCAAAAGTATAGCTATAATATTTCTCCAAAGAATATATATGTTCCATAATACAAGCCCCAAGGTAATTAATTGTTCTAATAAGAAAATCAAATAAAATATGAAGAGATTAAGGGAAGAAGATCTAGTGAGAGTGTATTTATACTTATAAAAATATAAGTCCCGTACTCCTCTGGTAACTACAGTGTTTGCAAAAAGCACTGCTCCACTGGATACGTGATTTTGGCCACATCTGTACACTTTAACCATGGTCACACAAATAACTTTGTATATGGAAGACTGCAGCTACAGGTCGTATTTGCTGATCAGAGCTGATATTGGCCTTTCATAGTTATTTTAATGAATATAGCAGAGCACTAGAGCATAAAATAATTATTACTCATTAGTGTTATCTTCAGTAAGGATTATTCATGTTATAAACATGGATTTTTAATTGTACTAACTAATTTTTGATGTGATGGTCTTCAATTGATAATAAAAATTTACCAGAATCTCCAAAAGCTTGTGAGATTGCACAGTATAAAAGATAATCAAGTGTTAAGGCTTATAAATTTGCCCACCAGTGACACAGTGGTATGTCTGCAGGCTTACAATGCTAGATATTTGGTTTCAATACCAGAGGTAAGCAGAGCACAGATAACTCTTTGTGTAGCTTTGTGCTTAAGTTTTAGAAAAGTTTGTAAACTATTTTAATACACAAAAAATTAATGATTGTTCATTTTTAACAGTTTAATGTTTACCAACAGAAAGATTTAACATTGAAGAAAATGGGACTGTTCATAGCCTGCTGGTTAGTTTGTTGGGGTGTTGATACAAAGTCTATGGTTTGTGTTCATATTCTGCAAAATTGCTCTTTGTGGCTGTAGGTGCATTATACGAGTGTTGGTCAGATGGTTTGATTATAGCTATCCAAGAATTGGTGGTAGGTGCTGTTGATTAGGGACATCTAGTGCAGATAATTTTTGTATAGCTTGACACAAATATCTGAAACTAACAAACAAATGCTTAAATGTACATATAAAAATATAAGGAACTAAATGCATATTTATAAATCTTGAAAAGGCTTCTAAAACATGCACAAGAAAGATTACCAATATAAAATTAACTAAAGTGGAAGAACTAGAAGGGTTCAAAACAAAAATGTAAAGGTTTTTCAGCTTTCTAAAGCTTGCAGTTTGATTTGTATTGATATGCAGTGTGGGTACTATAGTGCACTGATGCTACACAACCTAAGATTATAGGTTTGTATAATCATACCAAAATGTAATTTATATATATTGATCTAGCTTTCATACAGTGTTTATTAAATGCTGAGACTCCCCAGAAAGGAAGTTTGAGTTTGGGAAACCAAAAAAAAAAACTGAACTATAAAATAGATTCATATATCTCAATCTAGAACTTAAA